TGGAGCCTCAGTTTTTCATCTGTGAAATGGGGATGATAATAGTACTTATTGCACCATTATTTTAAGACCTAAAATTTCAAAACTATCTAAAATAAGTTAACTTATTTCTGAAAAATGGGCGAAGACCAGTGTGGTCAGAGGGGTTGGAGAGAGGTAAGCTGTGGGCAGCCAGTGGGAAATGGTCCTGGACAAGGGATGAGGACTGATGGCCAAAGAGCATCAGGGATCCCAAAGGGAGCCAGGACTATTTTCTAGCAAAGCCAAATTAAAAGCCAGCATTTATGAAGTACTGATTGACGCACACCATGGATGAACTCTGAGAGCGTTGTTCTTGGTGAAGGAAGGCAGGCAGATGCAAAAGGTCTTAGATTGTATGTTTCTATTTTTATGAAATGTCCAGAGTTGGTGACTCCAGAGAGACAGAAAGCAGATTAGCGACTGCCAGGAGCTGGGGAGGGAATCATGAGAGTGATTCCTTGATGGGCCTGGGATTTTATTTGGGGGTGATGAAACTATTTTGGAGCTAGGTAGAGGTGGTAGTTCCATGGCATTGCCCAAGCACTAAATGCCACAGGATTGTGCACTTTAAGGCCATGTGAATTTCACCTCAAAAACAGAAGTACCAAAATAAAATAAAAAGCCTGTTCCCTCCTGCTTGTGCTCTGGGGAGTGGGCAACTAGCTGGGCAAAGACAAGAAGAAAGGGGGCTAGCATGCTCCCCTTGCAGGCTAGGACACCAAGGCCCATGGAGGTCACACAGCCCCTAATTTACAGAGCAGGTAGGACACATGCCCAGGTCTGTCTGACTGCAAGGCCTATACTTTTTTTGCTATCACACTGTCCTTCTGGAACATTCTTCCCCTAAGGAGAGCCAGAACCCTCCCAACAGCCAGCTCTGGGGGTAGTGGCTTCTATAAACAGATTAATAAATATCCCTGCGGAGTAAGACATGCAGCTATTAGGGTGACCCTGAAATGTTCCCATAAAATGCCAGGTCGGCCTTGGTCACCTAGCCCAGAATAGCTGAAGAGTTAATTTTTTATTTGTGATAAGTATGCCCGGCTCAGTGACAGCTCCAGGAGTGGCATTTCCTGTGACTTGTCTGGCTTTCAAACATTAACCTTCTCCCTGGGGGAGGAAGGGCAGCTTAGCCATTAACCCTGGGTCCCCAGCAGAGAGTCCCCACCCCTACCTGACTTGGCAGCCAGACAGAGCCTTGGAGCAGATGGAAGACCCCTGGCTGAGCTCCTAGGAGAACTTCTGCAGTGACAGATCTGGGCAAGGGGCACAGGGCTGGGCCTGATTCTAGTCCCTCCACCTCATCCTCTCCAGGGTCTTTCAGGAGACTCCAACATGGCACCACCTGGTTCAGATGAGAGCACCCCACAACTGCTCTTCCCTTTGTCATTTCTCCTCTTCTTGGTCTCTTAGGGCATTCCCCCCTCACCCACCACATCAGTTTCACACTTCCTGATGGCCTGGCTGCCCTTCCTCTACTAATCAGAGGATGGGCCTAGAGACTTTTCCAACTCTTGTCCTGGAACATCCTCTGTTTTAGGGGCTTTACAACCATGTCTCCAAGCCCCAGACCCTGACTCCTCAATGAAAAATGCAGAAGGCCAAATGCAAAACAGATCCAGGCAGGGGCAGGTCATCTGTCACCCTCCTGCACCAGCCTGCCTTGGTTCCATGGCCAGGATCTCAGTAAACCACTTCAACTGCTCCCCTTTTTCATCAGGGGAGCAGGCCCACACACAGGGCTGCAGTCAGCTTTGAGAGTGGCTGGGCAAGTGGTTCATGGGACAGGTGCTACCCAAAGGCAGGGCTGAGTGTGCTGGTGGACAGAGGGCTTCAGTGGACCCCAGACAGCCATGGCAGAGGTCACACGGCTGCGTCAAGGAGCTGGGACAGAGAGGCTGTAGAGGGGCTCCTTACTGTGATAGACACCTGCCTTCACTGATGAATTCACTTGTTCCCCACAATAGCATTTTGGAACTCACCCCCCACTTCACCAACCCAGCATGATGGGCCATGAGCCCAACTCTGATTACAGGAAGGAGGCTACTCCTTGCTCTTTGGGAGCCCAACAGGACCACCTGGGCACTCAGGTGCACTGGAGGCCCAGCTAACAGGGCCGCCTAGTCTGAGACTGAGCCCAGTGGGTGAAGCCAGCCTGATGCTCCTTAAGGGAGGACCAAGGAGGACCAAAGGCTCCATCTCGGATTGGTCAGGCCCTCTAGAACAGCCCTCCAAGGGTGATCGCTCTGCTACGCCTGAGTTCCTGAATATGCCCACTCCTTTTCACCTCACGGCCCTCCAAAGGATACCCTGCCTGTATTTCCTTGGTCTTGACTTCTGTGCCTGCCAATCTCACTGTCCCCTGCATCTCTTGTCCAAGTGTCTCTCCAGCTATTGGAGCCCAAGCCCAGGGGATGCTTCCCATCTCTAACTACTTGAGGAATGGGTAGCCAAATCCTTCAGTACCTTTGCCACTTGGGTGTGTGCTCCATCCAGTCCCTCAGGAGCCTGATTCAGCTCAGGTTGCCCACAGAGATAACGCAGTGTTTGCTGGCTTCCTTCCCTATTGGTTTCAGTTCTCACATCCCCACTGATCATCTGCTTCTGGGGAATCCAAACAAAGGCACACTAGCTAGTCCCAGGGATCACTGTTTTTTGGCTAAACCACCTGCTCCCAGTGGGTCTCTGAACCCACTTCTGTCCCTCTCCCTCGCCTTCCATGCTGCAGCAAGGGCAATCTTTTCATAAAACACAGATGATCACAGCGCTGGCCTCTGACACTCTCAGGCCTTCCGTCACTCTTATGAGAGGGATGAAAATCCTACACGTGGCCCTTGAGCTCACATGTATCTCTGTGCCTGGGAAAGATCAGATCTGGGCTCAAACGCCACATCTCAAAAAGCTCTCATGGTGTCCTGGGGCGGATCATGAGCTCCAGTCCTACGCTCAGGCAGAACAGCACATATTGCTCATTCTCACCCCCACCCGACAAACCCTCCAGCACAGCTGAAAATCATGTCCTGCAGCCTCCCCTGCAGCCAGGAGTGCTGGGCAGCTCTGGCCAGGAGGTGAGGTGGAAGCAGAGGCCATCTGGCTTCTCAGTATTCCTCACCTTCCTTCTCGAAGGAGTCTCCTCTCCTCCCTGGAGGTACAGCAGCCATTGTACAACCAAGAGGTCAAAAGCCACACATTAAGTCAAAAGACAGGGGAACTGGAGCATGTGACATCTTGGTACTTTACACCAGCTCTGGACTTTTTGCAATGCAACAAAGAAATTCCTATTTGGTAAAGCCAAGCTGCACAGTGCATTCCGAAGTGACGAGCGGCTCTGTGGCCGCTTCCTCACTATTGTGATCTGTGAACTCTTCTCACCTCCTACCGTAAGTGCTACATTGATATTTTTGGAATGAATGTTTTCAGTTGCATGCCAATCTCTTAAAATAAATGGAGAAATAGAGGCCCAAAGATACTAAGTAACTTGTATAAGATCACAGAATTATCTAATTTAAACATAGTGTTTCTTTGTTACTTTTTTCTAAATTGAAGTAAAATCACAACCTAAAATTAATCATTAACAATTTCAAGCAGACACAGTATAATGTTACAGAACCATCACCTCTACTTGGTTGAGACATTTTCACAACCCCAAAAGAAACCCTGAGCCCATCACAGTCACTGCCCACTGTCCCTCCCCTTCCATCCTGCCAACACCACTAATACAATTCTTGTCCCAGTAGATTTGCCTAATCTAGGCATTTCAAATACATGGAATTGTACATTGTGTGACCTTTGGCTTATTTCACTTGGCACTGTGTTTTTGAGGTTCGCCCATGTTGTAACATGTATTCGTACTTCGTTTCTTTTTAAGGCTCATTGATGCATCTTTGCAGGATGGATGACATTCTGTTTATCCATCCAGCAGCTAATGGACATTCGGATGTTCCCACATCTTGGTTATTTAGTTATGACAAACAATGTTGCTGTGAACATTTTCAGTACTAATGTTACAATACTTACAATAGGTTCTCTTCTTAAATCCTTTTTCTTTTTTTTTTTTTTTTTTGGTGGTACTGGCATTTGAACTCAGGCCTCATGTTTGCTAGGCAGGTGCTCTATCGCTTGAGCCACTCCACCAGCCCAAGTTCTTTTCTTAATTCTACACCCTTAGGTGATAGACAGCAAAGAGAAATTGAGGAAGGGAATAGAAAGGCAATTCACTTTTTTCTCTTTTATTGTGGCACTGGGTATTGAATTCGGGGCCTTGCATTGCTAAGCTTGTGCTCTACCATTTGGGCCATGCCCCCAAACCTTTTTGTTTTTATTTTATTTCTGAGCTAGGGTCTCAGTAATTTTCCCCCTGGCCTTGAACTCACGGCCTTGCTGCCTCTGCTCCTTGAGTAGCTGAGATTATGGGCATTTGTATTATGCTAAGCTTACAATTAACATTTAAATAGAAAAACTAATAATATTCTAAGTGTTTGTTAATAATATTTAAATTAAGTATTTACACCGTATTTTATATACTTTGTCTCATCTATTGTTGTAATCCTACCATGGATATTATCATCTCCCTTCTATAGATCAAAGGGTTAAATCGTTGTGTGCTGTTACACAGCCAGCACAGGACAGCAAATTTTCCTGGCCCCATGCTGCTCCCACCTACCTCACTCATCAAGCTGGCAGTAGAGGTGACAGTATGCATGGGAGGGAAATGGCCTAGGGAAGCAGTTCCCACCAAACTCATACCTTAGCAATGCACATACACAGAAACTGATGGTTAGAAAACACCGCCTGTCCCCACAGGCCCGAGAAGGGAGGAGTGGAGGTGCTGGTTTCTGGGTCCATGTAGTACCAGGTGTCCCAGCTGATTGAGTGAGCAAAGCTGGACCTGTCCCCCTCACCCTGGCCCTGAGGACAAGCTCCCCAGCCCAGTGGGAACTGGACATGATCCACGTGCACATGTCCTGAGGTGGGCCTCATACCTGGCACTGGCAGCTCCATGCTCAGATCTCCTTTCCTCTCTCTGGAGAGTTCCTGCAGGCACTGGGCCCGTTCCTCCTGCAACACCTGCAGAACATCACACAGTCGGGGCAGGGCTCCCACCTGCAATCCAAAACCAAGGGTGCTCATTGTTGCCACTACTCAGTCCTGCCACACAAGGACTTTCTGTGTGCAAGCATGAGGCTGGACAACAGGAATTCAAAGTGAGGCAAAGCCCACAGGAGCTCCTGCTCTGCAGGGGGCAGAGCAGTCACTCATGGGAGATACTCACACAACCTGGAGCTGGTCCACTGCAAATCTTGCTTTTAGATTTATTAAGGAACCTGAGTTCAACAAGTGGCTGGTTTGTTGAGTACCTTCTTATTGGCCCATAAGACTTACTGGATTGCACTCCAACAATGTGGATACCTCAGTTTTTGAAAGCTTTGTTTTGATTCAGACAAGTTCTTTGGAACCTCCACTTAACCCTCCCTGTCCAACAGACAAAAGCATAGGTGCAGCCCAGACAAATGTGACCACAGGGAAGCATTGGATGGGGGTAGAGGAGTTACTGGCTCACAGTTGTCACCTCCTTGTTCTTCACAAGTTACTCTTCATGGCATGACTCTCTTGTTTCACTGATGCCAGAGACTCGACAAATATACTGAATAAATAAATGCATTATAAGCAACCGAACACATGAATAGAAGTGACTCCTAATCTACTTAGAAAGTATGGGTGTAGAATTTTAGTACTACAGACTCTTTTTATATACACTTAATTTCATCAGCTCTTGGAATAATCCTATGAAAAGTCACAGAGAAGGAAGCTGAGGTCCATGGTGGCTAGAGGATATGACCAGGATAGTCTATCCATGGCTATGGACTTCAGAAACAAACCTTCCAAAAGGCAATGGACCAAGTTTCACACTGCCCCCCCCGACCCCCGCCACACACACACACTCCCAGTCAGTCCTACACTAATGCTTTACACATAGAAATGGCAACAATGCAGCTGGGGAAGAAGTCCCAAGGACAGATCCCAAAATGCCCCATTCAACAAAAGCCCTGGGCTGGAAGAGACCTGAGGTCGCACTATAGTCAAGTGATTTCAACTGCCTTCTCTGTAGGATCTTCCACATCTTCCCCCCAGTTCACTAGCGTACTCAAAAAGGAAAGGGATTGGCCAGCTTTGCCAAGTATTCCTGTCTCCCCATTCCCTGACACCATCTGGACAAGGTTTATTGTCCCCATGAAACACATATCACCTCTTCTGGCCCAGGGCTTGTGCTCAGTGACAGCAAACTGCCAGAGATGCCCGGGTCCACTCAACTCTAAGATTACATCCCACTTCTTCCTTCACCATCCTCAGCCCTCAGCCTTCCATTCTACTCCTAACACAATGGAGCAAATGATTTGTGTACACACACATGCAAGCTCACTGGAATTGGAACCCAGGGCCTCACGCATGCTAAGCAAGCACTCTATCACAGCACTACACTGTATCCCCTGACAACTTAATAGTACAACTTGTATTTAGACTTTTACACTGAAACAAGTATAGCTAGGATTCATTTCTCAAGAATTTTATAAAAGAAAGAGTGGGGTTGAAAATGTGTTGGAAGAAATAATGGCTGAAAAATCCCAAATTTGGCAAGACACATCACTTAAAGGTTCAACAAGCTGAACAAACCCCAAAGAGGTTAAATGTGAAGAAATTCAAACCAAGGCACAGTGTAATAAAGCTCTGAAAACTGAAAACAACAAAGAATCTGGAAAGCAGCCAGGGAAACACTACATCTTTCCTAAAGAGGGAAAATAAAAATTAGCATAACTGATTTTCCATCTAGGACTATGGAAGTCTGAAGAAAGTGGCATGATATTTTCCAGGTGTCAGAAGAAAAGAATTGTCAGCCCTGAATCTTTTATCCAGGAAAAATATCCTCCAGGAATGAAGAGAAAAATCAAGACATTCTCAGAAAAAAAGCTAAAAGAATTTGTTGCCAGCAGACCTACTCTGAGAGAATGGCTAAAGGAAATTCTCTAAACAGAGAAGAAGGAAGAACCCAGCAAGCAAAAATATGGCTAAATGTTTTCTTTCTCTTCAGTTTTTTAAATAATGTTAATGATTGACGCAAAAATTCTAACACTGTCTGACATGGTTCTAATGTATGTAGCAGAAATATTTAAGACAAGTATATTACAAAGGGGGATGGTAAAGGGACACAAAGGGGGATGGTAAAGGGACACAAAGAGAGGTAAGAGTCAATACTTCAGGCTGGAGGAGTTGTTCAAGTGGTAGAGTACATGCCTAGCAAGTGTGAAGTCCTGAGTTCAAGCCCAGTACCACACACACACACAAAGATTCTATACATCACTTGAACCAGTAAAGTGATAATAGCAGTCTACTGTGAGGAGTTACATATATGTAGCTATGTAACTTATATACATATATATACACATGTATAATAGTATCTAGAGCAACCACTATAAAAATACTTAAAAAGATATACTCAAAAACACCATGGTTGAATCAAAATGAAGTTTTTAAAATGTTGAAATAACCCATAAGAAGACAGGAAAAAGTAAACAAAGACATGAAAAGCTTGGCGAACAAATATAAAACAGAAACTAAGTGGCAGACTTAGCCTTCACAGGCAAAAACAGCACCAAGTGCTTGTTCACATAGGAACACCTATTTGTAGATGACCAACTGTGTAGAAATCCACAGCAATCTCCAAAACCTCCCTAGAACCAGCGAATGTGTTCAGAAAGGTCTCAGGATGGAAACTCGGCATACACAAACGAGTTCTTTCTATTGCTAACCACGAGCACTCAGCACCAAGTTCAAAGTGCACTGCCTCTGTGTGGTACTCAGCTTTCTTCACTGTAACAAATGCCTGAGATAAATCAACACAGAAAACGGACAGGTGGCCTGGATCGTAGTTCTAGAGGCTCAGTCCATGACTGCTGACCCTCACTGCTATGGGCCTGGCAGGAACGTGTGGAGCAGCAATCCATTTCCTCATGGCCAAGAGTGAAAGAGAGAGAGAAGGAGGAGGGTCTGGTGCCCACTATCCCCTTCAAGGACACACCCCCAGTGACCAGAAGACCTCCCACTAGGCCTCACCCTAAAGTTTCCACCACCTCCCAAGAATGCCAAGCTGGGGACTATTTAACACATGGGCTTTGGGAAAATATTCTAGCTTCAAAATGTAGCACACTTTTTTTTTAAGTGCTTAGGTATAAATCCAACAAATATTTTAAACTTGTATACTGAAAACTACATAATGCAGACAAATTAAAGATTTAATTAAATGTGGAGACGTATAGACGCTCCTTGACTTCTTTCCCTATAAGTCGACAATGCATCAATGCGTTCCACCTACTGAACATCGCTGCCCAGCTGCACAAATCTCTAGTGTCAGGTTGTGCCCTCGTGATCACGTGACTGACTGGGAGATGCCACCGCATCACCCAACATCCCCAGAAGGGATCCTACTGTGTATCTCTAGCCTGGGAAAAGACCCAAATGTAAGACTTAGTGTAAGGTTTCTACTGAATGCTGATTGCTTTTGCACCATTGTAAACTGGGAAATCACAAGTGGAACCACCATAAGTTAAGGACCGTCTGTACTGTCAGATGTAGAATTGCTGAGTTCTATGGTAAAACCATATTTAATTTTTTGGAACCACCAAATTATTTTTCACAACCACTACACCATCTTACAGTCCCGCCCACACCAGGCGGGACTCTAACTTCTTGCCTATGCTTGTTATTTTTCTGTCGTGGTCGCAGTTGTCATTGCTTTATAATGGCCATCCTAGTGTGTGTGAAGTGGTCATACAGTTCTTTTACCTGTGATCCTTCTGCTGACATGTAAGTGAGATCATTTTGTGTGGTGGGGCATGCCAACAAAAGAAATGTAAGGTGTCCACCAGTGTCCATGTGACAGGAACAGTATTCTACTGGAAGGATTGAACTCATGGCTTCCAAAGGGTGACCAGCCAAGAAGAATGTCCCTTGGAGTGGTTGGGAGTGGCCGGGTAGAGCATGTTGGTCAGATGAGCAAGCAACTGGAAAATTCCTTGGTGAAGAATGTAAAACGAGCCTCCCTATCACCTGAATCAGCCTAGAGAAAAGAGGAAAGATGAATATGGACAGACATATGCAAGTATATTTATACGTGCATTTTATATACTTAGTGATTGGAGAAAAAGATAAATGAAGATAGGAGAATTTCTGGCTTATATTAATTTTAAAAATAACCCTTTAAGCAGCCAAAAAAAATTGTATTTGTGTAAGAACATTTTTTTTCTTTTGTTTGTTGTACTAGTACCAAAGAATTTAAAATGAAAGGCAGCAGATCTCTGCCTTAATCGTTATCTGCCCTGCAGAGGCAGCAATTCTCGGCTCCTTTTAGTTACTTATGTCCACTTTTGTCTCCACATTTTAAAATTACCTTCTCATACTGCTATCGCCTATCTCATTGGAACTCCCAAAACGTCCTGGTATGGAAGATAAAGATGTAGATGTTTTAAAATCTTCCTACATACATTCCTCTCTCCCTAGATTATATACACTGTCTTCACTTAATCTTTAGTGAAATAAATGTGCAGTGTGCATAATGGCCTCTTTTAACTATGAAGTATTGTTTGCTGCTGAGTTAAGTGACATAAAACGATTATGTGTCCCTGTACATTTTGTTTTTCCTGAGCTCAGTAATTGTGTGCCTTTTTCATTCGATTAGTTTCTGTGTACCTATGGCTAATCTTTCCAAGTGGTCTCACACTCTGGCCCACATCCATCCATAGCTCTATTTGGTTTTCCTTCTCCCTCCTGCTCCACCTGAGGTCTGTTACCTGACTGTGGTGGGGGTCTCCTCCCCTCCTCTCCTACCTGAACTTCTGTTTCTAAAGTCCATGTTATTTTCTTTGACTTGCTCTCTGGCTTTACAGAATTCTCTAGTAGCTTCCTAAAAAAGCTTGCATCGGGGTAAAAACATTCTTTTGGTGGTACTGGGGCTTGAACTCAGAGCCTTGTGCTTGCTAGGGAGGAACTCCTAACATTTGAGCTATTCTGCCAGACATTTTTTTTTTGTATGTGTTGAATATTTTTGAGAC